ACCCCCCCCCGGCCCCCGCCCCAGCAAGGGCAGCAGGGTGCAAGGCTGGGCTGCTCCCCACTTTCTGCCTCCTCTGCTCATCCTGTCTCTGCCCCGACTCATGGGTCACCCCTGGGCTCAGTTCTCCCACTTTCAAGATAAAAGGGACAAAGAACACCAGATATCAAGAAACAGTTCTGGGGGGTGGCCGGTTGGTTCAGTTGGTTAGAGCGTAGTGCTGCTAACACCAAGGATGCCGGTTCGATCCCCGCATGGGCCACTGTGAGCTGCGCCCTCCTTCAAAGAGTCAACTATGCCATTGTAGCATGAAAGCCATGTGCAACCAATGACCGTGGCTGTTCCCCAATAAAGTTAAAATAAAAAAAAAGAAATGGTTCTACCATGAGGGACAAAACAAGAGACAAAAGGAGCTCTGAGGAAACAAAAAGTGCAGAAAACAGAAGAAAGCTTAAAAACCCTAAAATCAACATCCTCAAAATGAGAGGATGTTACAGCCTTGAAACAAGAACATCCCTGCTTAAAAGGGTCATTCCGAGAGTAAGAAAGAGTTCTTGGAAATGCATACACCAGCAGCCACCAGGATGTAACAAAAGGAATGGAAGACAAAGCTGATGGCTCCAGCAAGTAGAACAAAAGACAAGATAACAAAGGAAAAAAAAAAAAAAGGAGCAAAAGTTAGATGATTAAATCAGGAATTTCAAGCATCCAGTTATCCACAAAGCAACATAAAAGACAGGAAATTGCCAAAGAAATGGAAGTTTGAGCAAACAAGTGTTTAAGTCCTTCAATGGCTTGTTACTCAAACATTAAAAATGTTTCCCTACATAAATACCTGTTCCTAACTAACCCCCCTAAACATGCCCTCTTCCCTTTGTGGTGGCTCAGTGAGTATCACGGGTCACCCTGGCGCCCACCCCCAGTCTGCCAGTCAGCCCACTGTGACTCCAGGGACCCGCCATCCCTGCAAGACGCCAGGGAGCAGGGGGGCCTCTGGTGCTCTCCTGGCAGATAGGTCAGGTGCTCAGTGTCCACTGAGCCTTCCACTGCTGGACAGCCTGCCCCAAAGTCACCCTTGTCACGATGGCCTCTGCGGAGCCTGTACCAGTTGTTAAATACTGTATTTTGGATATATTTTGGGAGCTAGTGGACGAACGGCAGAGGAAGTGATGCTAAGGCTCTAGCTCCCAGATTAGCGATGCAGTTATACACATCTGCCTTGGGCCCATTGGACCTTACGCGTGATTCTCCTGATGGTCTCCCTCCTGCTCCTGTGACCCCACCGCTTCCTGGTGGGGCTTTTGCTCCTGACCATGCTTTCAGATCTCCTTTCATAGATTCCAACCCTGGATCCAGAGGTCCACAGCTTCTCTCTCTACCTCTNCCTGCCATCTGTGACATGAATGAACCTGGAGGACTTTATGCTAAACGGAAGACAAATACTGCAGGATCTCACGTAAATGTAGAATTCATTAAAGCAGAAAGTAGAAAGGCAGTTGCCAGGGGCAGAGGGGCAGTGGGTGGGGAGATGTTGATCAAAAAAAAGTACAAGTTTCAGTTATGCAGGATGAGTCAATTCTGGAGACCTAATGTACAGCATGGTGGCTACCGTTAATACTCTACTGTACGTTTGAAGTTCGCTAAAAGGCTACATCACAAGCGTTCTTACCACAAACACACTAAAGGTAACTATGTGAGGTGACGGGTATGTTAACTAGCTTGATTGCAGTGATCATTTCACAATATATCTAAACATCAAGCTGTATACCTTAAATGTATACAATCTCTATTTGTCAATTATATGCCAATCAAACTAAAAAGAGAGAGAAAAGGGCACAGGCTGACAAATCCAGGGGGAATTCTGGGAGCGGGGAGATAGCTGGAACTCAGACTTGAATCCTGGTTCCCATGCTTAGCTGCTGCATGACCCCAGTTAGTCACCTTCTCTGACACGAACATCAAAGGGTGACTGTGAGGACAAATGAGTTAAATATCATAAGACTCACCTGGCCCAGTCCTTGAAACAGAACAGACAAATGCTGATAATATTTCAGCTGTTATTTCTGAGGATTGGCTCCAGGAGCAAGGTACAAATTAACCCGCAAAGGCTACTGTGAGTATTGATCAAATAACAGTGGACTATGCCTTCCCTGGAAGTTTCCACCACGAAGAATGAAACCAAAATGGTTACTTAGAAAGCAGGTGTGAGGGGAAACTCCCTGGGGAAATCGGCCGCTCCCAGGAGGGTCATTGGAAGTACCTATGCTTTGAGGATGAGGACGGGCAGCTGCTGCCTCTTTTACGGGGAAACCTGTGAGGGGCGGGGTCAGCCCTGCTGCCAGGGAAGCGGGCCTCCCACAGCCAGCCTCCCCCAGGCTGTGGAACTCATTCATTCCACACTGCAGGAGACACTGTCCTGGCTAGACACAGGGGATACAGCAAGCAAGGTCAGCGAACCCATGCCCTCACAGCGCCTACAGTCCAGCAAAAGAGACAGGCAAGTAAATAAGCAACCCCCACATTCTGTCACTTCTCTGTAGAAGCGGAAGGCATGTCAGTCCATCACATCCACTTTCCAGAAGGGAAAACTGAGGCCCAAAGGCATAGAGAGATTCAAGCAAGTTCACACAATGGTGAAGAGTACAGCTGGGGGCTCCCACCCCATAGCCCGAGGTGCAGGCTCGGTGCTGGCAGCTGCTCCCAGGCACGGGGCCCAGGCATGGGGACTGACGCTGCCCAGGGCCTGAGGGTGGGGGACTCACGCGATGACGGGCATATAGTAGTTGAACTTGGCCAGGAACTCCGGGAGGCTGAGTGGCTTGTCCATGCCGATGATGTCCTGCAGTTCCTCAGCTGTGTCAGCAGGGAGGGAAATACCCCTCAGCCTGGGGACAAAACATGAAGGTGGTGGCCTCAGGGGGAGACAGCTGGCAACCTGGGAGTCTCTCCATCCAACCCCTCCCATTGGACACATAGGAAGACTGAGGTCTGGGGCACACAGAACCAGGACCAGATTCCTTCCAGAACCTCCCATCCCCAAAGCCATGACCAGGGGGACAAACAGGGGACAAGCCTGTTTGTGCTCATGGATGCACATACCCGTGCCTGGGGACAGGGAAGGTGCCAGAGCAAGCCTACAACTTCCGCCTCAGCCCCAGGAGTAGATACAGCCCACTGGTCCTACGCCAGCTCAGGGGTTATCAGGGGCAATAATACAGGGCAGGGGCCGGGGCCAGGGCAAGCGCCGGACCGCCTTCCTCTGCCCTCTGTCTGGCCCAGCCTGCTGGGAGAGAGCTGCGCCAGCGGGCTGCCAACCTCAGAGCTCCTCCCTTCTTGACCACAGCCCGCACCCGACCCCGGGGCTGGACATGGCCACCACTCAGTCAGGCTTGCTGAGAGCAGCCCTCCCGGCCTGTAGCGTCCT